TCAGATAAGCTTTAACTGTTTATAACTGGCCTACCCAGTCAGATAAGATCATGTAAGCTTTAACTGTATCTAATTAGCCTAATTAGTCCCTACCCAGTCAGATAAGCTTTCTTTGTTTATAATTTATAACTGGTTATTTCTCATGGTTCTTCACTCAACACAAACAGGTGGAACGTTTGCTTAGCCTTTCTTTTCCAGGGAAACTGATTAACATGATTTAGTCCTGGTAGATGCTCAGTTGTCGATGTTTGTTTTAGTTCATGCATGTTCATGCTATTTGTGATGTCGACTTCCCTCCGGAAGCCAGGGAGCTGGTCCCTCGCCGTGGCGTAGCCAGCGGGATCCCACACTGCCGACGCACACGTCGACATGGAAGTGGATGGCAGCGTTCATCACGGAGGGGGTTGGTCTTCCGAACTCGATCCGCTTCCGATGCGTTCGTCAGAGGGGGCCGGGCATGGTCTGGTCACCCACCGCTTTTCAAACCCGCTCCGTCCATCGCCATGTTGGGGATCCCAGCAGATGCCCAGAGGCCAGTCACCAGGGTGAGGCCCAGCCAAAAGACCATCATGTTTTGGAGTATACAGCTAGTAACAGCTAGTAATTAGACAGTGTTGGGATCTGAACCATGTTGCATGTCTTTTTTAACTTCTATCGATGCATGAAGAATGATTGATATAGAGTTACTGCATCGATGATCTGGTCGTTTTTCTTTTTCGCCGGAATACTTGGCTGTGGGCCAAAAGCCAGGCAGCTGGTTGAGAATGACCCCCTGGGAATGAACCAATGTCTCTATGTCTCTATAGTGTGTCAACCTACCATCTATTACATGGTGTCAGGAGGTTTTAGACTCACAGCCACACATTGAAAACATGGGATCAGGACCGGCATGGAACCACACAATGCATCCATCTTGTTCGATCCATGAAGGCCACGTTTGGAACCCTGCCAACTCCGAAGTCCTACCACTGGATGTCGGCTCTGACTGAGCCACTCATATGCTCCAGTCCCGCGCCTTGAAGTAGTAGCTGCATCCTAAAACGAACTTGTATCCATCCCCCCAAGAGAAGAAGACATCGGTACTGAGACTTGGTCGGCTCTGGCCTTGGGAATCATCCTGCTTCTCCTGCACGCCGCAGCGCCTCCAAACCGATGCTCCGAACCAAAAGGCACCCGATGCGGCGGGCTTTAGCTGGCGGACCTGGCGGAGCCACATCAAGTCGTTTTGCGTTATACGTTGGAACCACAGGTGACCTGCTAAACTAGGACGCTTAGACGTTTCTGGATTGTTTCTGAGGTTTCCACCCCTCAAAATGGGTTTTAGTGCATCCAGATGGGGAGGTGAAGAACACAGCCAGATTTGACCGTGGATCGCCTGAACCGGGGAGTCGTTCTCGGCTCCGTTGAGGAGTGGTCTTGGTCGCCCCTTCAAGGTTCAGAGAGTCCATGGTGTGCAGTGAGGTGTAGTCAGATTTCACTAGAGAGACCTCCCTCAAAGACCCCCATGGAAGAGACATAGACCAGTTGGTCTACCCAGTCGTTTACCCAGGTCACATCCACATGTGGTGCTCTCCGAGGTCGGGTGCCAGGAGGTTAGGTGCCCCTTTGACCTCCACCGGCCCATGCCGGAACGGACGAAGCCCAGCGCCACGGCCACGGCGGTCTGCAGGGTCGAACCTGGAGTCGACCTGTGAAAGTTTGGAAGAATGGGATGCAGTATATATATATATATACCCCAGACCATCCATGGGACTGGTATATTTGCCTACATTGAGGTGGTTTCAGGGGTTAGGCATATCCGGCGACCCCTGCCTAGCTGACGCCCAGGCGGGGCGGCGCCTGGGACAGCGCAGCCAGAACCGCTTGCCTGTAGACTCCTGTATGGTGCATGCAGCCCCCGGGACCACACCAACAGGCCGTATAGCCACGCCAACAGGGCGCACAGCCTGTTTCTTGCAGCTACCTGGGGCTTGTCCCGGAATCCTCTATCTATGGTGTTCCGAAGGCGACGTTAGAGAGTGGCAGCGGTAACTCTTTGCTCCGTTGAAACCTCCAGGGCCAGGGTGTTTCGCTCTGGCGACACCGAGGTTTTGGCATGGTCCATGCAGCCTCCAAAGCACGCCTGCAGCTACCTGGGGCTTGTCCTGGAGTCCTCTTTCTATGCGGTTCCGCTGGACAGTGGCAGCGATTGCTCCCCACTGTAAGCCTTCAGGGCAGGGTCTTGCCCTCTTCTATATCCCTCACCAAGAATAGCCAGGGCGTTAGCCCTTTCTATATGCCATACATGGATGGTCTGGGTACTACAGTGCCTGTACATCTATGGGACATTATGGGACTGGAATAGTTACTTATGTTGGCCAAGTTTATAGAATTACCATGGCTGCGTGTGGCAGCCCATATCTAGGGTCATCAGGTGGTCCAACGCCCATCCTTGCCTGCTCAAGAATCAGTCTAGAATCCAGCACGGACAAAGCTGAAAACCTTACACCCTCACCAGAGCCAGAATATCATTTTTCAGTGTAAGGAAACCTTTCCGATCCTTTCAGCGACTTGAGTTGTTTTGCATCTTGGCGCATCCAACAAAAACAGCGTTCAACCAGAATGACTTGGATGAGAATCCCTGCATATAGGTAATCTTCCGAATTTTCGTGCATTTCCTCATTGGTCCTTCCCCAAAAAGACTTCATTGAAGGTGACAAGCAGGAAATCGGTTCAAAGAGAGAAAACGCATCGAAGGAGTCTTCTGCGTGGATGTGACTGCGCGAAGCGACCAAACATTGCATCACATGACCCGGGTCTGGACGGTTCGAACGTTTGAAAATGCAACCACATGACCCGGGAAACACAAATAATAGGTACTGTACTTAGTTACTTGTACCCACTTGTATCTTGCAACGTTGAATTCAAACACCTGCAGAACTCATAGCCCAGAACCCGGATCCCTGCGCTTTCCTGGTAACGAACTCCTGTGATCATCACCCTTCGGCTCAGCCTCCATGGCGTCAGTTGGGATCCTCAACTGAGTCTGGGGAAGTGGATCGAACACCTACAAGTTGACCTCTTTTTACTGGACCTGGTCATTATAATAGTACTAGACCAGGAAGTCAGTGGGACCAAATTATACTGGATCAGACTGGACGAGGTGTCGTGCACTCAAGTTGCTTGGTCAGTCGAGGTCAGACTCATCTGGACGGACTTTGCATTGCGCGTCATTGAACCACATTCCGGTCTTTTGGCACTTCCAGTCACTGGGATGGCTGCCATTGAAGCAGCCCGGATGAATCTTGGCAAACTAGCTCAACAAGTCATTAGCCAAAGACCCAAAGACTAGAGATACACTAGAGACCGTGTTTTCAAAGAGCAGCAAGTTGTGAGTGACAGACCACTACTTTCAGAAGAAAGGACTCCCAAACCCCCTAAGGAGCGAACACCGAACCCCAAACCCACTTGCTACTCGGAACCTGGAACGAATTCACGTGACCACTTCTCAGATTTGGAGTCTGTGCGACGGGAGGGACGTCTCATGGCATCCATAGAGTCGATCAGATCCTCCAGGTGGAAGCTAACCACATCTCGTCCCGTGCGCGACCGACCGTGCCGCGGCGGCGGTGGCGTCGACGAGGCGCCGCCGGAGTTGTTGCTCCAGGCGCGAGTCCGGAAGCAACCCCCCAGGTTCCAAGGACCTGGAAGCGACCTGTTCGTAACTGCAGAAAATGGATACAGATCTACCATCAAGTACCTCTTTTGTAGTAGGGTCATGTTCCATGTTCTAAGGTACTTTGGGTCCAAGAAGCTTCGCTTTTTTCAGGTGTTTGGAGGTGCTTGGGGTGGATTTGGAGGGTCGACCGGAGGAGGTACGACCCGAGGTTCGAGGTCAGGGAAGTGCCAAGTGGGAACAACCATTTGTTGGGACGGCTCTGGGTGCAAACCCAGAGTCCGTTTCACCCTGGTAAGTTGGTTTGTTCATGTAAATTCTAAGGAACATCTATGTATAAGTGGGTGTCTTCCAAATAGGAACCGGGTGTCACCCACTGAAGCTACTTCTACATTCATCTCATAGTATGTTCAGTTTGCACTTGCTCGTTGGATCCGCCGACCTGCACAGGTGCAGCATGAGATGCTCCGGCTGATCCAAGCGAACGCAGAGGCCATACATCGGACCCTCCAGCGATCCGCCGTCCCCGGGACTCTGGGACTCCAGCTGGGCAGACGGGCAGGCGGTGCAGGGCGAGATCAGTCAAGAAGGATCAATAAGGTGGATTTTTTTGGGGGGGAGTTCTACTGATCTAGCCAGCTATAGCCGGTCGGGATCCGGTCGTACCTCCTCAAAAGGTACGACTGGACCCTCCTGGCACCCAGCCCAGTCCCACCTTCTCAGAGGCTACTTGGATCCTTAAGGTATAGCCGGTCCAGATACCTCACCTTCAGACTCTAGATGTGGCAGCCGGTGGTCTTTTTCCACGCCATGGACATGCCATGCACATGCCACAGGAGCCGTTTCCCCACATGCGCATGCACCGACCGGAGAGTCAGGTGCTGGCTCGGAGCTGTGCAGAAACCTGTGTGCAGCAGGCGGGTCTTCGGTAAATGCTGACGTGAGACCGTGGTATTCGGTCTCCTAAAGGCGAATAGACCTAAAATCTGAATGACCTCTATGTTGAACAGCACTCAAAACATGGTTTGTTCCTATCAAAACAGAGGTCAAATGGGTTCCAGGCACATAATGAATTTGTATTTATAATGCATAATGATCAATATTCCATTCCATGCCTTGATGTTTGTCCACCTGCAACAATCCCGAAAAATGAGGTCAGGAACGGGGTGTCCATCAACCACCCCCACCGTAGGTCCTGGTCGTCTACTCTGTATTTGTGGACCATCCATCCATGGCTCCAAAGGATGGCTCTAAAGCAATGGTTGGAGGGGTCAATCAATCAGTTACTAACTCGTTGGCCCTGGCTAACAGGGGTGGTCTTATTGAAGGGCCTCCCTGGCAGGAGCTTCTTAGCAATTCTTAGCTGGTCGACCAGAAAGTACCAGGTCACCTGTCATGTGGATGGGCACGAAGAGCTTACTAGCATGGCCATATTCTGTTTGTCACTGCCTGTTAGGATGCCGGGATACCTTGAGCACAAGTGCACAGGATTTGTGTCACGAAGTGTGCTTCCATGGGGTCATCTGCGGAGAAATAAGGGGACATACTGAAGACAAAGGGCTGTTTGTTAAGTCAACCTCCACCATGCAATCAATACGCAACAGGACCAGGACCCTATTCCCCCAAATACAAATACAAAACCGGCAGGATTGGGTCAAGGAATCTGAATGAACTCCCCCCCAACTATCACTCGTGGTCCAGACAAAGGGGGCTATAAATAAACACCCCCCAAAAAGGGCTGTGGTACAGGCACCTGTTTTTTCCCTGTCCCAGTCATCTTGAAGAGCGTTGGACGCCGCGTTGGACGCGATTGTGGACTTGGCCAGGTTTGGGCAGCTTCGCTACAGGCAGCGCTGCACTATGGAGATACGACAAGATCACGGAGAAATGATGAAGTACCTATTCCCTGAAATGTATGGGCAGAGTAAGAAAATCACCAAGCGCACAAGCCTGTAAGGTTGGTAGAGGATCCTGAACTGTCGGATTTGGATCTTTTGGGATCTATTTCTTTCTTACAGTAAAAACTGAAGAGAGCTCTGGTTGGGCATAGGGTTTCAGGGCACCGGCTCAGCATTTACTGTGATTTGCTGCGATGAGTGAGAAACTATTGAGGCTCCACAATTCTTGGGGTGGGATGTTGAAGGGTGGACTACGCGTTTGTATGGAATAGTTACATGCATTGATCACCCCAATGAAAAGGAAGAGTCTACGTATTCCATACCTGGAGTGCTTGGGACGTCAGATGATGTCGGAGAGCGTGCTCCCCACGGTGTTCACCACGAATCGACTCCTGCAGAACTGCAGAAAACTGCAGGGCCGTCGACCTCGGTGGACGTATTCAGCAACTGGATGGGATACCTTCCATCCAGTGATGGCATGTGATGACGAAGTATCGAACCCCATGAAGCATCGAAGTTAGACGGAAAGATACGGAAAGGATCTTCCAACAAACGTTCGTTGAGAGGTTGAGGGAGGTTCCAACTGGGACCTATATATAGTGGTACAATGCGGTACATAGGGGATAGGCTGTGATGGGTTACTCAATCGCTGTGGGTCCACTTTCCATTCTTGGAGCACCAAAATGACCTGCGCTTTTCTCCTCCCACGCGACACGATGTTCGCCTGAAGAGGCGGCCTTTGGAGAAGTGGCGCATCTCAAGGAGCAGTCCTTGAGACTGGGGTTGAAAAACGGATCCCAACATCACCCCTTACCTGGTTTTGCTTAAGGTGTTATTTTGTATTCCATGTTGATTGTTAAAATCATGTTAAATGTCCCTTCTAGTGAATGTGTTATATGTTTTTACCATAAACAATCCAAGCTTCTCTCTACAAAAAACGAGGTTCCTTCTTCGGGATAGGCAGCCTATGTTCCCGCAAAACGAGGGGGAAAGGTCCCAGTCAGAATCAGCAAATGGTTGTTCTCGCCATTTTTTCGATCCTTTACATTGTCCAATGTGGCTCAAACTGAAGAGTTGTGGCTCCAACTGAGGAGTTCGATCCATTTGCTTCAGGCTTTTGGATCTAGGCCCCAAATTTCAGTCCTTTCAAGTGCACAAATACCGCGGGAGGCGGAGATAGAAGGCTATAGGGGGAAAACCATGTGTTTCCTGAGACAACGTTTCTGCTGCTTTCTCACTGGGAGCTGCAGGGTTGCTTCCAAGAAAAGCAGTCCTCGAATGTGTTCCTCACTTCTTTCCTTCTCTTGATTTTGCCAAGACCTCTTGCGTCTTTCAATCTCCTGAACTGAGTGAATCCCCTGGCAGGGGACAAGGTTCCTGAACAGCGAATCCAAGTCTATTGCCATCAACGTCACTCGACTCGACTGTCAGATCACTCGACCTAGGACCTACGCATGAACCAATCTTTCGCAGGCAATTGGATGCCTCAGGGGCAAACCAGGAGGGTTCCGCTCCCTTTGCTCTCCTGAGTTTTATCATCCCCAAACCATCCCATCTATGGAATAGTTGTTCCAAGTAGATACAGTTACAAATGGAGCCAATCCAAGTTCTTTAGACACTCTCAAGGCAGCCCGAGCGCCTGCTGCCTTGAAGGATGCGCAAACTGAGCCGTCAGGCTTTCCAAAGGAAAGGGAGGCGTGGTCGACTGCGCGAGAGACTGAGCCCATCTTTGCTACTTGTAGGGGGAACTGCTTTGTAGGCACCTTGGACCAAGGGGGCCCTCAAGTTAAAGATGTTTTTCTATGCAAAGAGGACGGTTTTCATAGGGCTTTCCAACCCAGAAGGATTAAACATGTTGACAACAGTGTTCCACACGGTATTTTGGCCCAAACACGTAACTATCACACGGAGATTTTCCTAAGTGTGGAACGGGCTGAGGGCGCGCCGGCTGCCAGCATCACACAGCTCAGCTCGCCCCCCGTGGAGGTGTTTGCTGCTCTGGAGGTTCCCAGGAAGCTTTCGGAGGCCCGTCGGCACGTGGCGAAGAACTTCCTTCCGTGAGAAGCATTGAGCTCTTTCCGTGAGAATGAACGCGCGATTCCCGTCCGGCGACGATTTGTGTTTGGGGAGCAGCCTCCAAGATTTGAATAAAAGAAACCAAGAAGAAGAATAACAACAACAGCAACAACAACTGGATAAAGCTGAAACATGTCCAGTTCCTTCCAAGTGATCCGGCCCCCCTCACTGAGAAAAGATCCCTTTTTGGACTCACGAAGGGGCTCCGACAGATCCAATTCAGAGGTCAATTCATATGAATTCGGTGGACATCCTGCCTTTTCTTCCGAACCACGAAAGACATGCAGCTGGGGTTGGGGGCATGTGACGGCATGTGGTAGAAACCAAGAGTCGCTGGCCCATCACAAACGAAGGTTTTTGAATGGTTCCCTCTTTTTGAGGTAGCTGGACGTGGGTCTCCTATGCTCCCAATCAATCAGACTGGGACGCTGCCAGATCAGCCGCAGACGCTGCGGCTGGGGGCCCATTTGCAAGAAATCCTCCAAAGGTTTTTCGTGAAGATTCAGTCTTCCGAGAGTCTCTGTCTCCGCCCAACCCCTAACAATATCCAACAATCACCTGTTTGCCGTCACGTGGATGGCTGTTTTGAGGTGTTTGAGCGTCAATGTATACCCTTGCAGACTAAAACCGGAGGGACGTGCTCTTTCCATGGTCTAGTTTCAGGGCTGGCTTGCATCAGGTCCATCTTCCGGTTCCATGAGATGTGGGCCATGGGATGCCATGGGTCACCCCGCCCCCAATGACCTCCATCGACCCGACAAACCTCTTCAAAGTACCCCAATGAGAGAGCCAGTCCTATCTTCCAGTCCACAATTCTCGCATGGATGGATCCGGAGTGGAGTGGGCCGGGTTCCCACACGGCCTCCTCCCCCTAAAATCACGTGGAGAAGAAGACCACCGTATGGTCGGCTGGAAGTTCCCACCGATTTCCGACATTCCGTGTACAAATGGCCGTCGGCTCAAGATCTTGCGGTCCAACATGGTCTTCCCTATCGTGTTGAAGAACCAAAGGATCTGAACACTGGAGTCGACCTGTGAGTGAAAGTACCTCGGAAGCAGGAGCTATGACTGCCAGGGCCCCCTGTTTTGGGGTGTTTTATGGACACCCCATGACACCCCTTATATACCTCTAAGGCTCTAAAAGGGGCTATTTTTAGACACCCCGAAACGGGTGCCCTGGCAGTCGTACCTGCAGTTCAGGTCATGTTCCATGTTCTGAACCGTCCGGACCCGAGTCCAGAAGAAAATCATGCTGGTCGCAGTGCGTGGATTCTCGAACTGTTTGGGGTGTTGTGAGTTCTGTCCCGAACAAAGCAGCAGCCTCCAGCAGATTAGACTCTTTCAAGTTACTCAGAAAGACCCTAAGAAATTGATCTGTTGAATCCAAGGGTGTTAAGTTGTGTTTGCTCCTTCAACACCTATAAACCTGGGTCGGACCTGAAGAATTGTCTTTTTGAATTAAAGCCTCTAACTTCCTTGGCCGATGGACATCACTGTATCATTGCCCAGTGGCCAGTCTATGAGTCTGGAAGCTCTTTCTGGCAGCTCCAGAGTGGGTGAGCTGAAGTCTGCTGCAACTCGGCACCTTTTTCCTGGTTTTGCTTTATAAGGTGATTTGTTATATACCCTATGACTTCGGGTACATCCCCTTAACCGGAGAATAATTTATATTGTTGTATGTTTCTTCCGGTTCCAAAAGTAAATCCAAGTGTTTGGACACAGTGACTCGAGTGCCTATAGTTGGTGCCCACTAATTAGTGCCCACCCTTCACACCGAAAAGAGTGCCTCAACCCTGCCAGTTGGAATGCCCATGAATGCCATATGATTAAAATGGATTCGTCATACCAGGACGCTCTAAGGGGTGTTGAATGGAAGCCTATAGGTAGTGTGGGGTAGTCCATTGGACACCCCGACAGGAGGGTCCTGGTACAGTCTGTTGGATCCTTTGTATCTTGTCTTTGAAGAAATTCTTCTGTTGAACTTAACCTTTTTAGCGTTCAGGACTCGTCGTAGCACAGGAACTGGCACGGGACCTGGGACAGGTGCCACGTGCGCCGGATCTCTTGGGTTTTCTGACTGATTAAAACCCTTTGTATTCCGGGTGAGGCCAGAGAATATTTTGGAGCTACTTTCTTACAACTGGTGCGATCTGATGGAAAGCAGCTTGAAGACACAGACCTGCTTGGAGAAAGCCTCGTGCATGGCGACGTCGTAGCTGCCATCATCCAGGAGTGGTTGGAAGCAGAAACTCCATGAACCGACCCGACCTCAGTCACTCCATGGCATTCTTCTTTTCCTACGATTTCAGGCGTCAAATAGGGGCGGCAACAAAAACAGGTCCTATTTTTAATAGTCATGTCCATCAGTCGTGTCTGCCTTGAATTCAGCAGAAACGTCATGTGAAACATCTCGAGGCTCTTAGGAAAAGGTGATCCTGCGTGTGTCTTCCGTGTGTCTGTGACTCCGTTCCTGGTCTCTTTGATGTTCCTGTCCTCCCTCAGACAATCATGGAAGCTGAGCAGCCCCTGCTTGTAGAGGATTAGGGTCTGCAAGGTACCTATGTTCCACTTCCGTTGCCATGATCCTTGACATGACCTGTCTGGGACTGGCATATTTGCCTACCTTGGGTTGCTGCTTGGGATCAGTGTAGGTAACAAGGCCATTGCAATGCTTGGGGATCGTTTCGGGGAGTGTCATCCCCTCCTCAGTCCAGGAGCCGAAGTTGGCGGCCACCGATGGTGCATTTGCTTTGTGGTCCAGCAGTGGCGTCATCACTTGGGGTCATGCGGAGGAGGGCGGTGACAGCAGCAAGGTGCAAGATCAACTGAAAGCTGTGCAGGACATCCAGGCGAGGGGTCAGTTCTTGATCAGTTCCTTTCATCCAAGCTCTCCCTTAATCCAGTCTCCAGGTCTCCAGGTCCCGGTCATATATGAGTTGTGCTTTTCTATGATCAAGTCTGAGCAGATAGGCTCTCTTTTGGTTCATGTTGACCTGGATTGCCCACCCCGTACGCCCGCCCGCCCGTACCGGTAGCGGATCGGCAGCGGATCCGTCAAGGTCGAGGGTTCGGTCAAACCACGGGACACCCTGCTCGAGGCCTCACGCTTGGCCTTCGCTGCCCTGTTGGACGGTGGGTCTGTGGTCACGTGGGGCGACCCGAAGGCAGGCGGTGACAGTACGGAGGTCCAAGATGCACTGAGACTTAGCCAAGCAGGAACTGAGTATGTTTCTTTATCTCACCTTTTGTTCTCATTATGACTATATAGATAATAGTTTTTCCTTATAGATATAGTTTTGCTGCTTCAATATCATCATCAGGTTTGCTGGTGAGGCTCCCAATGTGATTTCATGTTAGTCGAAACTCAACGCGTTCAGAACCGGCTAAAGTCCAAAACCAATCCTGGTACACTTGACACCTCTTTAAGACACGGCGATTGAGTTGCAGAACTCTGCGTCCTAAGCGATGTGACCAATCGGATTGTTTCGCACAATTGCAATCATTTGGATGGTTTGGGTTCAAAAGAGTTCAACTTTCGACTGAACATCCACAAGAACAAGGGTTTGGGTCCAGTGTTGTGTCGTCCGGTTTCCTTTTGGCACCGATTCACGTCAGGAAATGTGTTCAACACATCACCGCTGCCGCCCTGGGCGCTTTTGCTGCCATATTATTTGATGGATCTGTCATCACGTGGGGACGTAAGGAGATGGGTGGGGACAGCAGCAGTGCACAGCAGCAACTGAAGCAAGTGCGACAAATCCGAGCAACTTGGTTTTAGACCTGATGTATTTTTCGTGAGCACAACTTCAAGAGCCCCAAAGGCAGCAGTGCTTGTGTGCCCAGCAGTGTTTGTGAAGGCTTGGCACACACCAAGTCGATTTGGCAATCCAGTTCCAAATGAACGGCTAATCCTAGTTTTATCTAGCTTTTATTTTTCCCCCCTATGTGTAGCTCTCCAAACCTGGTGAATATGTGTGTACTTTCTCCCGGACTTTGGTCCGGTTTTCTGTTTGCCCATTTAAACACCCAGCGTGATTCATCGACACTACTCCGAGAGAAACACTCCGTTCGACACTCACATCACACATCCATTCTTGGTTCGATGTTTGGTGTTTCCCGCGTTTGGAGGCGTTTGGGAATAAATCCTTTTTTGGAGGTGTTTTGGAGGTGTTTCTTAGGGTTTCGCACGTTTATTCCAGACATCCAGGTTCGCACGTTTTGTTGGATGTGTTTTTAAAAGGATCTTCGCCCACTTGACACACTTCATGTGGTGCAGTGCTCAGGGGACATTCAGATCTTTTGGAATAATCTATAGGGAGTCTACGGAACATGTTTGCATTCTGTTTTGCAGGATCCCTGGTCTCCAAAAAGTTATGACACATTTTGAGATTCATGCAACCCACCGATCTATTTGTTGAGGCTTCTGCGGGGGCCTTTGCTGCAATTTTAGCTGATGGATCAGTGGTGACGTGGGGCCATCCCGTTTACGGAGCTGATAGCCGAGGCGTCCGAGATCAGCTGATCGACGTGAAAGAAACTCTGAGGATAGTGGATGAATGGTTTTGTTGATAAGTCAATCTTTGTTAAAGTAGCTGCTGAATAAATTCGTTTGTTTAAATGATTTCTTTAGAGAATCAACCAATTCTTTGCAGGGGTTCCCAATCTCCAATCTGAATTTGTTTGCAGGAAAGATTTGAGATATCTGAGTATAGTTGGGGTTCTTTGGCTATGGCTCAAACATGTTATAATTGAATGTTCTGCAGACATGACTCGAACCGACCTTTGGGTTCTCAATCGTTGCAGGTCGGGACCGGACAGTTGTGATGTACACGTTCTCAGGTGACCTGCCATTCGTCTCTCACTCGTTGATCACTGAGGTTGATCTTGACATTCGGGTGATCTTGGGCCCAAGACTGCACTTAGTGCCCGTTGTTGATCTCTGAGGTCTGCCTACCAGGAGACTGGACTTCGGAACCTGGGTCATGTCCTGGACCTCTAGGGAGAATTTGGATAAAGGCCACAGTTACTTTACTTCGAGCGATCCCCACCATCCCATTATTCTCTGCTCATGACTGTCTGCAGTACCGACAGTATTGCTTCAACATGACCAAGAAAGTGTCTGTCTTGCATAAATCTGGCATAATATGATTATGCCACTCTATCTGGCATGTATATATTCTGGCACTTTTTACATTCTATCCAGATTGAAGCTCCGAGGGCCCTCCATACCGAAGCTTCGTTTGCTTCGGCGCCGGGCCGCAGAGTCACTTAGTTGGCACAGCAATCCCAACAGCTGCAGTACAGCAAGCCCGCACAAAGGCGGTGTCACATAATATCACGGCTTTCGGGGCCGCACGCAAGGCTAAGGCAAGTATACAGCAGATAATGAGAGAGCAGCATTACATTGAGAGACATGTAAATGGAGACGTCCCTTCCCTTAGAAAACAATGATTCGCATCGAACAAAGTGCGCCAAAAAAGGCAGCAGGAATGGGACAGGAAGAAATGCCGAAAGATCGCCCCAGCAAAAGCAAGGACACAGGAACGGCCAGGGATGGTTTAGGTCTGGGATCAGGCTTCCGGAGTTGCAAGCCTTATGAACAAGAAACCATTGCCCAGGAACGCCGGCATCCTGGCAAAGCACAATTTTGGTGAACATGGTGCTGGGACCATGGAACGTGTCGGTGCTGTGGCGGGGAAACCAGGGCCCCCTACTCATACTAAATACGAATCATTCGGTCGCAGTTGACTTAGAAGGAATATATGACCTGAGGGCACATCACATCATCTTGCGTCAATCCTACCTAAAACGGTTTCAACCCTGTGCTTGTCAAGAAGAGAAGGGAATCAACACTTTTAGTATGGCCACCCAAAAAGGCTACAAACGCAAGAAAAGCTCTAACCATGTAGTTGAACCAAGGTCCATAGGCAGTCGTATGCAGTCGCGCTGTCGCCTCGGATTTTCAGCGGTGTCGATGACTATTTGCAATACTTTTGTTGCTATCTCTTTTGAGGCCGCTGGGGAAAGCGCTTGTGGTTTTATATATTCGCTTTGAGCATTTTCAATTGGTTTTGTGTCTGCCAAGATGCAAGCCATCGCTCTCATTCATCGTTGCACATTATCTCGGGGCGAAACAAAGGCAAGGGAAGCCTTTCACATTCTCCCTAGCCTCTTGCGTCTTTGCCAGTGGGTATAGTGTGAAAGCCAGCGCCACGCGCAGCCCAGTCCAGGAGTTGGCACGGCTGCTCCAGCATGAGCTGCGGCCCCTAATTCAGCAGTATATTCAATATACTCAGGCGCATGCTCGACATGGCCCCGGTGGAGGCAGTCTTGGAGGCGCTCAAGATGTCTCGCCAGAGGCTGACGGAGAATCGTTGCTGTAGCATATTCTTGCATTCTATCTGGCCTATCTTCTGGCATACTTTTTTGCCATTCTCTGTGGAAATTTTCTCGCCTCTGACATATATTGTGGCATTCTACCTGGCGCATGGTCTGGCGTTCTATACCTGGCATATGTTCTGACATTTCTTTGGCATTCATTCTGACATTCGTTCTGGTACATGTTCTGGCATTCTTTTGGGCATGACATCTGGCAATCTATGTGGTAAATGTTTTGACACTCTTGTAACATCTATTTGGAAATTCTTTCTGGCATAAACTGTGGTGGCGCCCACTACGATGTAGCGCTCGCGGTTGAGGTCCGGTTGTGCCCACTGCGAGCTGTCACTTGTGGTTGAGGCCCGGTGGCTCCCACTGGGATCTGACCTTCGTGGTTGAGGTCCAGTGGTGCCCACTTTCATCTGGCACTTGTGGAGGGGAGGCGAGGAGAGCAGCCGGAGAAGGAGAGGAGAGGAGAGGAGAGGACGGCTGTGGCCAAAGCCAACAACCCTTACCCTGCAGGTGGGGAAAAACAGTGTGATCGTACACAACAAAACAGTATCATCCAAATATGATGTAGGATGATATAGGATCCTTTTGTTGTCTTGACCTGCTTGAGCGAGATCCTTTTCTGTCGGTGTTAGGACATCGAGGCGACGGGGTCGGCTTTCGCTGCCCTTTTGGCCAACGGATCTGTGGTCACCTGGGGGCAAGCAGCTTCAGGAGGAGATAGCAGCAGTGTTCAAGCTCAGCTTCAAGGTGTGCAAGAGACCCTCAGTTGCGGCTCAGGATGGAGACGGGCGTCGCAAAGCCAGAAACCGTAGGGGATCCAACCAGCCCTAAATCTGGGATGCCAGAAAATTCTTTTAGAGGAATTGCAGAAACTATACTATATGCGTTCGGTTTCCAACATGGTTTTGCTCGAAGGGGGTGGGCGATTGGACTCCAAGACCAAAGGTGCCAGAGATTTTAAATATCGCTCAAGTGGATCGATCCAGTTCACCTGATTCGTCCGAGAACTTGTTGATTCGGGCACCCCAAAAAGTCACTGAATTACTGTTGTGGGATTGGAATGTCTTGGAATTTCAGAGGATCAGTTTTTCCGAATTGGATTCCAGGGCGGTTGCTCCATTTTCGCCCTTGGGTGTTCCTTCTTCATATCTGGAGTCGTCCAAACACCCACATGACAGAATTTGGTTGCACTGCTCATTGAATTTCATTGATAGTAGATGGTTCAAGAGTTGCGTGAAACATGTGTTTCTCTGTGTTTGCGCAGAAAAACAAGGCTTGGATCTTGCGCCATAAAAAACGATCAATTTTCCACAACTTTCCACACGTTTTCTGCTCAGCACTCCCCGAGACTTCGAGCGACCCTCGGTGCCTTTGTTGCCATCCTGGAGAGCAGCCGGAACCTGGTCGCGTGGGGAATTCCAGAGCGAGGAGGCGCACCGCGCAACGAGGTGCAGGAGCTGAAGGATGTGCAGGAGCATTGGAACCGCTGGGCCGCTGGGAGCGGTAGTGTCTTGCACGACGTTGAGAGAAATGCCCCCGATCAAAGGTCTAAAGTTGTCCACATTCGAATACGTAGTACGCAAGGGGCAATCATTACCCTGGAACTGCCCGGAAGTAGATTCTACACAGTTTTTTTGAATTAGTGAGTTTTGCGGACAAAAATCCTGATGTGGAGATGAAAGAGGGTCAGCCTTCGGGAGAGAGATTTTCTAAAGGGGAGAAAGGGGAGATGAAAGGCGATTAGCATCAAGGAGTCAAATTGTTCTGAAAGATAGAAGGCAATTAGTGTTGTGGAGGGGTATTTTCGTTTCAGGGGAGGGATATGTTTTAAACAAATTGTTGGTGGTTCTGAGGGGCTTAGAAAGAGTATTCACCAGAAGGTGTTGATTCAGGCATTGGGCGACTCCAAGTTATGAAATGAAGAGGAACAAAATCAGAAGGAATCCAACAAAGCAATAAATAGTATTTACGCTAAAAGAGAAAGGCACAAACACCCAATAAAGCCCAAATTGTTGTTGATCCAACGAATCTAGGCTGCAAGTTAGTTTGGACACCAATCAAAAATGAATAGGAAAGTCCCAATGAAACTGCACTGTAACACCCAAAATTTGTTGCTGAATGAGTAAAATCACGCTATATTTATAGCGATAACAAATTCATATAAATTCCTGTCGAAACTCGTCGACATGTTCAGGAAATTCATGGAAGTTCATTAAACTCAAGTATTAGTTGACGACCTTTGATTAGGAATTTGGCTCTAAATTTGGATTTCGACTCTGCATCACCACTAGCCTGAGAAAACACACATATATGACACGTACAGTAAAAACATGTTTCAAAACCTCATGTTTAGACTGGAACATGTTTGGCTTTATTTCCAGAAGTAGGCGCTTTTCTTTTCTAATGTTTTGTGGTGTCAGGCTGGGCACCCACAGACCTGCACTCCATGCTCGCGGGGAGCTCTAGCCGCGGTTTGGTAAGTCTGCTTTTAGACCTCTATGCCTATATGCCCTATATCCCTATACTGTTCCTTATTTTTTTCTGGTGAGGGCAATTTTCAGGCGAAGCTAAAAACTCACACAACAAACAGTTTTGGTGTCGATTTTTGTCACTTCTGCGTTGTTTTTTGTCACTTCTGCGTCATTTTGGCGTCATGTTTTCTATCGCGAATTTGCTGCATGTTTTTGCGTCATGTTTTCTGGCGAGACGGAAACAAATACATCGTTTCAGGGTCCAGGTATATATATATATATATACCTGCATCTTCTAACTGTGCAGAATTTCTGCCTTTTCATGCATAAAACCCAACCAAAAGGCAGAAATTCTGCACAGTTGGAAGATCTAGGTATAAATTCCTTTGGAGTTCCTTTTGATTTGTGTTCCTTCCCATTGAATAACCTTTTGATGTCAAGGATGTCATTTGTACATGTCTTTGATTACAATTGAATGTCCATTAAATTACAGTTGATTCTTTATGATTCCATTATTCTGGCATCTGGCATCTGACATCGCAACATCGGTTAAATAATGCAAGGAAGTCAATCACTTTAACAACTGCCCCCTTTCACGTTCTCTATATTTCGGTTAGTTTGCTAATCAGATCTCATCAGTGTTGGTAGCCGTGTAGCTGTATTTAAAGTTAAGTTACCCCAGAAAAGAATTGTTGACCTGGTTTCGTAGTCTGAGAACATCAGGTCCTAGTAACACAATCATTGTTGGAAAAAAGGAGGAACACCTGTCACACATGTAAACACCATGTATTAAATCCATGATGGTTGGAATCCTATAGGATATACAAACCAATGTTCCGTCCGGTCAAGATGGGGCGGATGGCACGGGGAACGGTCACTCGAGCACCCGCCCAAAGATCTTCTCATGGAGGTCCAGTATGTGGGTAAAGTTTGGTATCACCATGTGCCCCAGGAGATTTACACCTCCAAACGCTCCTTCATGGCGATCTTGGCTGACCGCTCCGTGGTGGTTTGGGGACATCCAGAAGATGAATCGATGAGCGATGGTGTCCAACTTCAGCATGTGCAAAGGATCCAGGCATCGAGTCGCGCCTTTACAGCAGTGTTCTTGGATGGATCCATGGTATCTTGGGGCGATCCAGCGGATGGGGGGGACAGCACAGAAGTGCAAGATCAGCTGGTGGAGAAGGTGCATTTGATCAAAGCTTCGCGGTTCGGGCACTCCTTTGCGGCCATTTTGGCGAATGGACGTCTGGTGACCTGGGGAAATCCCCACCGCGGAGGTGACAGCGAATCCGCGGAGCGCCACGGCGGAAAACCACCGCGGAGCACAGATGTTGGGATCGATGGCACCGAAGAACCCCCGAAGAGACCAACGAAGAGACCTCAAGTTCAGTATAGGTCACTGAAGCACAAAAACCAACGAATGGCACCAGCTTCTTCAATGAAAGTGGTGGGTGTTCCCGAGGTTTCGGCCCCAATACCTCGGCCCTGGCCATTGCTCAAGAGATTCGTCGTCTTCAGCCCGGGAGTTGTGAAGAACCGTCGGTTCGATTCGATGCTCAGAGAGGCGTGGAACAACCGAACGCCGAACGCCGAGTTTGCCTTGGAACCCCATTCTTCGCCCCCAAGTAGGGTGGGTGGGGGAAGATTGCGGCAAGGAAAACCTTCCAAGTAGGACAAACATAGAATATATATCCACCAGCGCAGGAGGCTTTCAGTCTGAATGAGCGGTTTTCGTCCGTCTCCGTCTCCTCCAAATTCGGCGATCGGAACACTCCAAAGCGCCCCAACTCCCGACCTTTCTGAGTCGTTCTGCCGCGACAGTGCCGGCGAGGCCGTCGACAGTGCGCCCTCCGAAGCTGCGGAGGACATCTGGGGGGCAGCCGATGGCCGAATGAGCGAGAGGCCAGGGCCAAGACATTCCAGGTTTTTGGCGTTACATACTTGCACATTGGGGTGGTGTTTGAAAAGGGGGTCCATGTAACACAATTCAACCTCTGAAGATTGGAGTCAAGATGAGTCAAGACTCGCAAGAACTCAGTTGCACTCAACTCCTTGCACCCATAGCATTTAGTTTATCTTAGTTTCACCTCTTCTTCCTCACCATGCTCCAGTGAGCCCTCCAGGACCCCTGGGGAGGCTTCTTGCAGGCGGTCTCGTCGATCGCCCAGTCGCGAAGCGCGGTCTCGACCTGAGACCTGTCAGCGGTCCTGCGTCGCTCGCCGTGAGGCGGTCAGCGGTCCGGGCGGCGTCGGTCTGGGTTTTTGATGGTTTTTGGGCGTTGAAATCGTTGGAGGTGTTGTCCCAGACGTTCCATGTATTGCATGATTTTATATGGCATATATTTACTGAGATGGACCCCATACAACCACTCCAAATGTAGACAAATCTGCCACTATACAGCGTGAGTGTTTGCGTACAGCTTGCCTACATGCGGATGGTTTCAGGGGACCTACTGTTACGGAGAGGTATTCGGATGGGCCATCTCGTGGGGCTTGTTGAACCTCTCTTTCGGATGGTCCAATCGAGCTCTTCGGCTGCCAGGCTGATGCAGAGACCCACAGGCCAAAGGCACGGGTCCCACCCCCCCACCACGTGGCGGGGCGACCGACCGCGGCCGAGCCCGGGCCGCACCGTGCGGCCGAGGGAAGGAGGAGCATCTTTGGGGAAGGTATGCAGATGAGACATGCAGATCATGCAGTTGGTTCCTCCAAAACAGCTACGACCAGGTTGAGAGACCTGAACTGGGACCCTTGTATAGGGTTGAGGGTACCAAACAAGGGGTGGAATCTATCGGAATTGATGATTTCTGGGGCTCCAGTCCTACCTCCATGTTCGGTTCGGTGGGTAGGGGTTGGGTGGATTGAGAGAGTCGGTTTCTACCTTCGGATGCGCAGATGCGCAGCTTCAGTGGGCCATAGTTGGCCCAAAAAGTGGAGGACATGTCCATGGGGGATTCACCCTTTTGGATTTATTCCTGGCTCTTCAAGCAAAAACCAAGTTTTATGACATTCTTTGGCACATGACGCTCTTTGCTGCTCGGTCACCTGCTCGGTATGCGCGCCAGGGCAAGAAGGGCAAAGGCAAGGGGCCGCCGCATAGTGGCAAGGCGGGCTTGGCCCACACAGATGCCACAATTCTAGTGTTGAAGCATCGCGCATTTCTGCAGGAAGACTGACATGCGTCGTTTGGGTCACAACGGGGTCAATGAAAGTAGCTGTGCCCAAACCCACGATTCCCTGGGCTTTCCCGTGCTTTCATTTTTCAAGATTAGGGCCCCAGCTTAGAGAGTTCACCTGAACGTGTGAGGAAGATCCAAGATCTCAATGCAAAAGCCCCAGTTCCAACACTCCACAAAGAGTCAGTATTCCATGTAAATGTCCACACAGCATGATGTTTTCCCAGACAACCACTTGGTATGAATAAATGAAGCTTAGCTGCCTTGGAACAACTATTGGTTCTTGGTTGAAACCTGCGCTACAGTTGTGAGTCCTATATAGTTGAATGATCTTTGGCATGTAGAAGTTGGTTGATACACATGCAGCACATGCAGCGCTTTCGCTCCAGCGTTACCTCACAAAATCAGACAGCAAAGACCTAAGACTGACTCCTTTCAAAAAAAGAAAAACGTTTGCTATCGCAGATGCAATCGGACGCACACGTGCCTTCCTGGGTGGTTCTTGGATGGAACCATCTGCACATCGTTCAAATGGGTGGAACCATGCCCCATGGGGACATGGCGCAACGTCCAGTTGATGGGGGCATCCGGACAATCCAAATATCCAACACCCTTCCCCTCAAGTGGTTCGGGTCCGCTTTCTGAATGTAGACTAGGTACTCTTGATTCATCAACCCCCGCACAGAATGGAAGAGGTTTTGTCAATCTAATTGGGGTGGGTTTATGAATCAATTGAGTCTACAGTCTACATCGTCGACGGGTGGTTTTCTTTCTGCTCATAAAAAATGCAACACAGCTGCCATGCTGCACCTTTGGAGCTTGTCCGGTGAGCTCGTCGTGGAGCTGCCAGAAGATGCGTTGGATGCCATCGTTCAAAGCAAGACACCCGTCAGAGCGCTGAAGGAGTACTTGGCAGATCGGGATCGTGTTGGAAGGTCCCGGTTTCAACAAAAAGTCTTCAGGGAAGGGACTCAGTTACATGATGAAGCTTCAGTCTCACCTGGAGATCTACAGCTGGTGATTTCAGATTTTCAAGAGATTCCTCATCAGGATTTCCTTGAAGCATGTGAAGCTGGCCGGGTGGATGAGGTAGAAACACACCTTCACTTGCCATATGATCCCAACACTCAAGACCCAAAACATCGAGTAGCCCTCCATGTGGTGGCTGTCTTTGGCCAATTGGAGGTGCTGCGATTGCTCTTGGAGGCTTTTGCCGATGTGAATGCAACCGACGTCTATGGCAGAACTGCCTTGCACGAAGCCACGGCCAATGGGCACGTGAAGGTGATGCGAGAATTGCTGAAGGCACAAGCTGACGCCAATGCAGCGGGACAAGATGGCATCACAGCGTTGCAGTGGGCATCTCGTCGGGGTTTCCCGGCCGTCGTACGAGAGCTGCTCTTGGCAAAAACTGACCAGGAGGCTTCAGCAAACGATGGTCGAACTGCATTGCATTGGGCATGTTTGAATGGGAACTTGCATGTGGTTCAAGAGTTGTTCAATGCAGGTGTTGACAAAGAGGCTGCGGCACAAGACGGTTCCAGAGCTGTGCACTTTGCAAGTTTGAGAGGCCACTCCGAAATCGTGAGGTTACTCCTAGCGGCGGGCGTTGACAAGGATGTTGCATCAACTTCCGACGGCAAAACAGCTTTGCACTTTGCGGGTCAGAAAGGACACCTTGCAGTGGTGCAAGAATTGCTGAAGGCCAGAGCCAACAAGGATGCTGTGACACGAGATGGCTCAACGGCTTTGCATTTGTCAGCGCGGAGGGGACACTTGGAAGTGACGGAACTGTTGTTGAAGTTTGGTGTTCAAAAGGAAGCTCAAAGGGAAGATGGAGCAACTGCATGGCAATTGGCAGCTGAGCAGCAGCACTTGGAAGTTCTTTACTTGTTAGATAGCGACAGCGCATTTGACAGCTAAAAGAGTCAGGGACTCATGTGCATCATGTGCCGCGTTTGCAGTTGCTGCTGCATTCTAGTACTTTCACTTGACACAGCAACATGCAACAGCACAAGATGGTGTCCCCGCTCTGACAATTGAACACATGGCAAAGTGACTGTCGCATGTCGCTTAAGGGCATCCATCGGAAGAAAGAGTACACGTTGGTCAACGTTCGACACTCGATGGGACTGCCTGGAAGCCTGTACCTAGTCCAGTTTGGTCCAGTAGAAGCCAGTAGAACCTAGCCTTGGTGTTTTGGTATGATCAACTCCAGTCCTGACCTGTAGGTCCAGTCCTGACCTGTAGGTCCAGTCCCTATCAGGAGTCAGACTTGTCCATGCCCATGCCCAACTCATATTGGGGGGGCTTGGGGAAAGTCGTGACACGATGCCTGGAGCCCTCCAAACGTCGGGGCGCTGAAGAACACGGTTCGACACTGCACCTGACTCTGAGAGCTTGGCGCATTCGACACCAAACCTGGTGACCTTCAAACAGGGGTCCAGTGGTACTTTGTCCTTTCTTCAGGGTCATGTCCGGGTGAAGAAAAGAAGTCGGGGTCCACACGGAATCGACTTTCGCACCAACCCTGGGTAGAACCAACACAGTGTGAGTAGTTACGTAGATACAACGTCCTTGATACAACGTATAGATAGTAGTGGTAGCATACGTTGTTACTCAAACTCTTCCTGAGTAGTACGTGACTCAAAAAAGAGAACGTACTACCAGACCTGTGGGAGATGGGGCCATCCGGGTCCAGGACCATCCGTTTGCTACCACGAGCTCGGACATCAACGGCCTCAGGGCCACGAGCATTCGACCTGGTGCCACGTACGTTCTCACCTCCAAAACCATCCGAAGTACGGAGGTACCTGGACCATACCTGGAGCAAGCGCTGGTCAGTGCATCAGCGGCGCATTTGACCTGTGCATCTAGGTGACTCCTGTGGTCCATACCAGCGCCCGACTTCACAGCTCTCCGTTTCAGCTGTGAAGTCTCCGTTTTAGCCACTTCGGAGACCTGTGAAGTCGGGTGCTGGTATGTGTGCACCTTGCGAAGTGCCCATGGCGATGTCGGACTTCGCCCGCGGCCAGGCACCCAAAGCCACCTCTTCCGCGCCGAAGGTTCAGCATGTGGGGAGGCTCAGGACGAGCGTTCGCCCTCAGGGCTCCTGTCCCCACCTGGTCAGAATTAAGGTTAGAGCCACCTTCTCCCAGGAGGAGGCCCGCCTTCAACAGGTGGTTCTTTTAAAGATCACCTCGTGAAGGGTCCTGGGGTTCCCAACATCGACAAGATCACCTCGTGGAGGGTCCTGGGGTTCCCAACATCGACATGGATTGGAGCCGAACGAGACACAGACCACGTTGCCAGAACGGGACTCGCTGGGATGGCGCTGAACTGGTTGGCACTAAAGGCCTTGTTGGTTGGCATTTAAGGCCAGGCGTGCAGGCGTATGTTCTCATCTTGCCACGCCACATACACTCTGGGCCGCCCCCAATATAAGCCGGCCATCGCTCTTGGGCCAACGCTCAGGTTGGAGCCCAGTGATTCAGTGGATTAGGTGCCCAACCAAACTTTGGGTATTTCCCCACTGAAATCCCTGCCGCAGGTGGCGTTCGTTCACTTTGATGTGAACCAGGATTTGTGTAAACACATATTGGCCTCAGGAGATCCAGAAAACTTGTTGAATGTTGTTACCTTTCTGAAAGATCCAGTCCAGACGACCTGCAGCTGGATTTTGTCCACTTCACTTCCAACCTCTGGAGATCGATTTCGGGGTCTCTCTATGGGGTCTACTGACCCTAGGGCTCCAACCACACCCACCCCCAACCACCTTCTCAGGAGGTAGTTGGAGCCGTAGGGTGGTACCGATCCAGATTCCTTTTTGAGTCGGGTGGTTTTACTGTACCATGATTGACCCACCCAAATCCACTTTGACGGTCCAAACCTAGTCAACCTGAGTGCCGTTCTGTAGTGCTTGTGTAGGTGCAACTCCAGTAAAATGAGGTCATTGACCTGTAAAGGTATGGTGTTTTCCATGTGTCCATTCCCACACCAGTCGGGAGTGGCACTGGGATTCGTTGAAGCCAGAACAGAATCGAACAGACAGCGATGCTGGTGTAGTCACTGTAGTCTCTCCGTGTCGTTTGGCTTGCACCGATTTGTTGGCACCGATCGCACTGAGCTGCGATCGCGATCGACGTGAGATCGGAGATCGGAGGATGGCAGGCAGAGGGGAAAAAAAGGACACAAAAGCGAATCCGTTGAACTGATCCGGTTCACCTCATCAGTTCTTCTTCTAAACCCAGACACGGAAACACTCCACCAATCATTGGTACCGGTACCGGATATAGATGGATATATAGAGGAAACATGACCCAAAAGCATTCATGGGATTGATTTCAGGGGTCTTTCTGGTGCGCTTTTTGTTTTTTCTTTCAGTCCCAGTTCCAGCTCAGACGCCAGAAGTCATGGCTGCTTCTTTCCTCCGGCCAGGTGCGCCGCAACAGCGGGATTTCAGAGCTCAAAGCAAGGGTGGAGGCCGAGGTGCGCTGCCATCCGCTCCCTTTGGGTTCCAACAGAGAAATATACATTTCTAGGCCTCCAGTCGCACCGAACCTGAGAAGGTGGGACTGGGGTGGGCTTGGAGGGTCCAGTCATGCTGAACCTGAGGAGGTACGACTGGACGGACCGTGTTTTTTGGGGTACGACGGACCCATCACCCGTACGTCCATCGATGGACCAGTCGATGGACCTCACTCAGTCGATGTCTTGGAATAGATCTTTTCAGGTGCTGTCATTTGCAGGACATCGTGTCGAACAACGGTTGTCGTTGTCACCTGACTTGGGGCCTTCATTGACAATTGATCGTTGATGAGCAACTTCCATCACAGATGGAACAAATTGTGCAGGCTGCTACAATCCTTCTCTTCAGATGAGCCTTCTGGATTCAGCAGCCAAAGAGAGAATCCAGAGACTGTTCAGTTGATGATCCATTTTCAGAATTCATCAAGAATCGTCTGCCAGGGGCAGAGGAAGGATCGTGAAGAGGCCAAGGTGCTTTCTTCGCGGACATGAGCCCGCGCGGTGTGGCGTGCACGCGACGGGGAGAGACGGGGAGGCAACAAGAGAGGTTGAACAGCCCCAAGGTCGCCCATCCCATATGTACCACAGACCAGGGTCCTAGTTCATTCAGGTCTCTCAACCTCTCCTGGTCAGAAGGTTCGGTGGGGACTGACTCCCCTGGCACCCCACCCCTGGCCCATCTTCGAAACGGAGGTAGTTGGAGCCCTAGGGATCTAAAAGCCTTGGTTCCTTACTACTCATGGGATCATCCACTGGGATCCACTGGGACCTCTGGTGCTTCAGTGCTTGCTCACTCGTCCAATGAAGAACCCGTTTAAAAACCCGTGGAGGGGCGTTTTCATGGAAGGTGTGGAACGGATTGGCGGAATCCGCCCGATCTGGAAGCTGGGAGAGTTCAAGGCTTCAAGCAGTCGCCAGCCTTTCTCACATGTGGCCCAAGCAAGGGTCAATTCTCAGGGTGTTTTCGATTTTCTGCCGGTGCCAGTCTGGTGTGGACGCCCTGGGCTTCACTTCTATGGCCACTCTGGTGCTTCCCTTCTGGCCGAAAGAAGACCGTCGGTGTGGACCGGGTGAGGAGGAGGACTCAGAGGTTCCTTCTTCACCCCGTTTTTGCGGGATTTGGGGGCTTTCGCATGCTTTCACCGTACACCAACCCCTCACCTGAACGAACAATGGACCAATTCCCAACGAACCATGGACCCCTGTGGTTTGGACACTGGAAAGACCAGACTGCTCTTCCAACTCGCTGCACCGGCTTTCAGGGTCCATGTGAGTCAGACTAGCCGGGACATATTCCTCTACAAACCAGGCCTGGTGGACTCAGGTTCCATGTGGATCTCTTCCAGGGAAACCTCTCTTCTGGACTTGAGCGTCAGGAGATCTCGGATCTAGACCTCTCACAGTACCTCGGAACCAGCAGAGATCCAGCAGGCCACAGGAGGGCGCAGCCGAATCCAACGGATGTGTGTGTTTTTTTCTTTTTTTTGAAGGCATTTGGCCTGGAGTCTGGAGGCGACCTTCAGAAGTACCTGAAAAAACATGTGGGTGGGTACTGTCATCATTTTTAGGGGTGATCTTCGTAGCGACAAGACAACTGCGGGGCTTCAGTTGAGGAGGAGCGTCAGTGGTCCAGTATCAGGGTCCGTCCTATGTGCCCCGTCCGGGGCGACGTCTGGTGACCTGGCACTCGGGATGAACGGGGCTTTCGTCCGGTCGAGCGGCCCTCATGACTTGGCTCGAACACCGTCGGGTCGGGTACTGATGGTACTGAGGTACGGTGGCAATGGATCCTATAAATTAAGGAGCTATAAGATCTTCCAACTATGCAAAACGTTGGCCGAAGCTGTCTGGTTGTTGCGTTTTGGAGATGTTTGAGGGCAGACTTGTTGCACACAGACCGGAGCTTCAGAGAGGACCACTGACTAGAGGACCTGAGGAGTTCAGATGACTTGAGGAAGAAGGGGCCATGTAGACAGTGGATGAATCACACTAAACCACCTTCTGCATGAGGTAAACCCATTTCCGGAAGGATTCGGTAATAGGCTTTGATGTGGTAAAGTTGCAGGGTCCAGTCACTGACTCCGGAAGCAAAAACCATTCTGTCGCAATGAATCAACCTGTCATGCAATGTGTCTACATGACATATACAGCAACCAGACAGCAACCCGACCACCAGCCGGTTCTGATCCGCGCTGAGGATCAGCCCTGATGCATCTTGCGAGCGCGTGGCATGTGCACGATGTGCTTCTTGGTCAATCGACTGGGGCGCTTTTGGACAGGTTGGACAGATTTGGCAGCTTCTTCAGTTCCTTTAGGGATCCACATGCCTTCTGAGAAGGTGATTGGAGACACTGTTATGTAGGTTTGGAGGGTCCAAGTACCTTCTGACAAGGTACTTGGACAGTTCGTGACCATTTTGGAGTCCCTGTTTCTGACCTCGGTTTTTGGCCCACACTTGTGACCTCTCAATGCCAGGATATCAAGTTCACTTCGAAGAACGTGGTTGGTGATATCAAGTGTTCTTCAACCTGTGGGATAAGTGTTCTTCCCATGAATTGGACTCCA